GATTTAAAAAAAAAAATCTTGGCATGCAGCATTCAAGTTGACATTGAGCTTAAAATAAATAAACAAGCAATCATTTATCAGATGCTCAGAAAATCCTTCATGTGTTGATGTTCCCTCCCCAGACAATTGCAATTTGTTATACTGTGGTATTAATAAGTCAGCTGTGGAATGGCTGCAGATATCAAAATGCAGAATGCTAGACCCGGACACACACACACACACAAAAAAAATGAACAGAAATATGAATAACATACAAAACTGAGATCGAAATCCTGGTAATGATATTAATGATATTTTATTAATATCTCCATTCTAGAGTATCTTGCAGATCTTTTCTTAAGACATATTTTCGCTAAATCTCTTAACTCCAGTGATCTGGCACTCTTTACAATGCCCAGAACTAAATCGAACCTTAAAGTGTCTGTGAAATCATGATTTGCAATGTTTAATTTGCTAGCGATTCCTTTGGTGAACAATGTTTTTTTTTGTGATCTTCAATCAAAATCTGATCATTTGTCCTTCTCTATTGATGTCAGTTTGAAGGTTTCAGTCACAATATTCTTAACCACATCCCTCTTACTGTTAGTTTGCTATAAGGCACAGGTGTCAGGCCGCAGCTCTGCACAGTTTAGTTCCAACCCTAATTAAACACACCTAATCAAACTAATTGAGTCCTTCAGGCTTGTTTGAAACCTACAGGTAAGTGTGTTGGAGCAGGGTTGGAACTAAACTGTGCAGGGCTTCGGCCCTCCAGGAACTGAGTTTGACACCCCTGCTATACGGCACAGATGTGCAAAAAGAAAGCCCCGCCCCCTATTCAATATTCAGTTTTAGTTAGAAGTACATCAACAAACTGAAATAAAAGTCAAGCTACTTCCGGTTCTCGTTGACTTTACGAAGATGCATGTGTTTGTGGTAATTGTCCGAATCTGAAAAATAAGTTGCTATTGGCTATTAGAATTGCACCAACGTGGGTCTCATCTATCAAATCTGATCTTTAATTTGTATTTTATATTGATTTAAGTCAGGTGATTGGCTGGGCCATTCAGCAGCTTGATATTCTTTCTCTGAAAGCATTCGAGAGTTTCCTTGGCTGTGTTTTGGATCATTGTCTTGCTGAAATGTCCACCCTGGTTTCATCTTCATCATTCTGCTAATGTTATATAGATGTTGGACTGAAGCAGTTTTATTAATTGTCTTTGACGAAGGGCAGAAGGTTGCTGAAGAACGACTAAGAGATTTCAGCTGCTGTCTGGTCTTTCACTGCCTTTTTACACCTCCCTTTCTTCTTGTGTTCAATGCTTGTATATGTTATATTACATATAACTTCATTCATGAATTAATTATATTTGTTTTCTTTGCATAAATTGATTTCTTTGGATGTGACCAACATCCGTGGAAAATTTCATGCCAAGCACATCTTTAGAAATATGTTTTCTGAGAAAAATGGTGACACGTTCAATACTTATTTTCCCCGCTGTGAATATCTTGTGTTGACAGCGCTCAAAAATACACTCAAATGACTTATCTTGTGTAACACTTATTTCATAACAACAACCAAATGTCCCTAACAGTCTTTCCAGAAAAGAACTCAACTGACCCCTTGATTTGAGTGACCTGAAAAATCCCCCAATAATATGGTGAACATCCAGTACAAATCGAAGACAAAATCGCTTACTTAACAGTAATCTAGTGGCTATGCCAGGAGGAATACTAAATATGTATCGGTAAAAAGCTTTCAGGATTATTGACTAAGCTAAACACAGACAAACTGGCATCTGTACAGTATATAATCAACACAAAAACACTGCAGCTACAACTCTACAGTATGTGTCACACTGGACTAAAAACACATATAAAAACATTCAACGATTTACAAAGCACTCAGTTTAATTGTTCAACGAAAATCATCATAGAAGGTCAGAAAGGGATAAACTGTTTACCTTAAATGAACTGTCCAGAACAGCATCTGCCCTCCGAAGAGCAGTTATGAACTTTGCCTCTATGTCCTAATCTCACTAGAGCTAATCCACTTTAAAAATATGCATATTGTAAGGGTTTAATATTTGTTTAGAAGGCCTCGTTTAATCCATGAACTCTCATTTAGCTGGGCATAACATCATAAACATAAAAATTATAATTAGACAAAAAAACGCAGGGTTTCACACAATTTATGTTGTCCCAACACAAATCAATTAAGTTAACATATTTAAGTGGATTGAACATAAAAGAATTTAGTTGTCCCCCCAAAAAGATCTAGAATTGTGTTGTTTCAGCTCAATTTAAATAAGTAATTTGAATAAGTAGCTAAATCTTTCTTTTTTTCAGTGTATTAAGAAATATCGCATACAGTTGAAGTCAGAATTATTAGCCACCCTGTTTATTTTTCCCTCAATTTCTGAAAGAAGATTTGTTCGACACATTTCTAAACATTATAGTTTCCATAACTCAATTCTAATAACTGATTTATTTTATTTTTGCCATGCACAGTAAATTTTGCTGTGTTGAATAAACTCTTAAAGAGTTAAATTTAACACTGCACGTGAGTGTATTTGGTCCCACTCAGAATTGGTGTTAAATTAACACTTTTCATTGTGTTATATTTTCAGAGTAAAATTAACTCAATTTTGAGTTAAAATTTAACACTGGTCAACACTGAAAATTGTTAAGGTGTTTAACTCTGAACAGAAATTAACTCTGTCTGGTGTTCCTTAATTTAACACCAAACAGAAATCAACTCCGGTCAAATGTTAATACATCACTAGTAAAGAGTTGATTTACAACCCATATGGTGTTGCTTTAACTGTCATTATTTCACTCTGGTGCAATTTTTTAATGCTACTGAACATACTAAAAAAACATTAAACAACAAATAAAACAGAAAACGAAACTCAATATCAGTTAAAACTTTTATTAAAACATTCAGGCTTACAAAAATACAGTGCAAAAATTTCAACTCTGCATAAAATGGCAATATGGTACAACATGAAGTACAGAATCGGTTGTACCATATTTTCTTTGAAGATCAAATGGTTTGAAATAACACAGCTCATTTACATTGACAACTGTTAAAACTTTGTCTGGATGCAGTCTGACTGTAAAAGCATAGTAATGCTCATCAAAACATACAGTTTCCATTAGTGTGCCACATAATAGTACATTTTCATTTTTGACAGCTATAGTCATGATCTTACAAAACACTGGCATCTCATGTGCTACTTCTGTGCAGATAATAAAGTCAGGACGATACTCTGTGCCATGATGTTTGATCCACTTTACAGCATAGACTATTTCAGATATTACCACACCTAATTTTGAAGCAATCTCTGGGCCACCTCTAATTTCCCTGAGTTCCACCATCTTTCCTGGGCCAAGAGTCAGTCTGTACTGGCTAAAAGACTCCCAATACATTGCCATACAACTCTGGTGCTTTTTGGCTAGTGTTTTGGTGATGTTTTTGAAACTTTTTAATTGTGTTTTAAAGAATTTGTGCTTAGCTTCATAACGCATACACCATGTGTGCAAAATTGGACCAATTTTCCTTATACATTGTGGGTAATGTATCATGATGTGATGTTTTGGCAGAAGATTTTTTTGGGGGAATAACATTTTAAAAAGCCGATGATGTTCAATTATCAAATGTTTAAGATAAGTGGTCATGCCATCTGTTAAGACAGGTGAAAAGACAATGTTAACAATCTGCAGAAGTAAAAGCAAAAGATGCCAGTGTTTATCATCTTTATGTATTAAATCTCCAAATATTAAAGGCAAATTGCGCAATAAGCACCAAGATTGAATAGCATTTAAACCTAAATCATTGCTTCCATCAAGCAATTTGACTTTTGGAGGACGGTTTCTCTGCTGATTGTAACCATAGTCAAAAGCATGTACTCTACCATCAAGATCATTGGCACTGAGAAAATTATGCTGAATGTACTGCAGAACAAGTTTTACCTCTAGCTGGGCAACTCCTTCTAGAATGTCGTGCATTATATCAACAGCAAAATTGGTGGCTGTGTTGAAATATTTGAGGGAATTTAATAAGCATGCCCTTTTGACACCATACACGTGAGGTAGTGTAGAATCAGACTGTAAAGTTTCACAATGCAGAGCATGCATCTCAGCAGTTCTTAGTTCAACCTCAGGACTATCTTCAGAGAACACTGACTGAAACTGATGCTTCTCAAGCAGACAAAAACGACAACAATATCGTGCCCCAAATGATTCCAGAAAGCCAAACAAGCTGTGCAGACCTAGGTTATCCCCTGTGACTTGAACGATAGTACCCTTAATGCATCTTCCAGACACTGGATTCTTAACTCCCTCAATTTCAAGCACTTTCAGATCATTGACCAGAGGCTCAATTATGGAGTTAAAACCATAGCGCTTAACATCCTGTGCATGAAAGAGGGCACATAAATGAATATTAACCAGTGAGGAGTTAAAAACTGGTGGGAAATTTCTTAATGAAAAATAGATTGCACCCAATTTATGTATACCTTTCTTTGAGCCCAGTGGATTAGCGGTCTCAAAATCATCATAAAATAACTGAATTTGTAAGGCATCTTTTTCTGTAGAAAATAAAGGACTGCTTTTAAAATGTGCTGCATCACTTAAGTCCACATAAATTCCTTCCTTTGAAATGTGCCTGGGTTTAAACAAATCGGTAAGTTGTGGATTTTTTAAAATTGTCTTTAGTGTTTCTAAAATGGGAATATAAGAAAATTTATCAGTCACAACAACTTGATCAAATGTTCCTGTAGTTTTATTTCTTCTGCTGTCAAATCTTGTGCCGAGTACTATTTCACTAGGTTCAACAATCCCCCATTTCGCTGTAAACAGTCGCTGTCGCTTGACTTCCGAATTTAACAAAGTAAATGGATTTTCTAAATTTGTAAAAGATTCCTCTATTTTCCTTTTACTAACAGTGTCCTCAGAAGATATACAGAGCAAAGCTGCATCCTGGGCTTGACTATGAATCTCAAAAACCACTTCTTCCATAGATGAAACAAAACCATTTATTGCAGACTGACTTAAACCAGCAACTTTCAGTTGTGCAACAGCAGACGCACACATATCTAAAGTGTTCTTATTAGACTTTAACATTACAGATGTTGTGGCCACATCTTCAGCACTGTCACTCTGGTGGAACATTGCAGCACTATTTTCTTCCTGTCTCACAGATGCCACTAGGGTCACAACTCTGTTCACATTGTTCAGGATGTTTTATATTCAAATGTTTTCTAAAACCTGAGAAGGTACCAAACTCAGAACCGCATCCTGCCTCTACACATTTAAGTCGAAGGCTCTTTCCAGGAACCAAACCATGAACAAATCTGAAGTGCCTAACAAGCAATTTTGAACCATTTAATTCCGTCTCACAAACAAAACACTTCATGAGTGCACTGGAACTTTAGGCACCTAGTTAAGCAGCCTTGCCCTAACCTCAGCAACACGAGGACTTTCTTTCACTTTCCCAACATCTATGTTGTACACAGTGGTTTGAATGAAAGTGTACATGTTGTGCAGCATGGTGTTGTAAGAGGTGCCAAAAACATAATGTGCCTTAAACAGTTCATCAAAGGCACCAAGAGAAGAGGTGGACTTGCATGGAATGGCATGCTGATCAAGGATGATGAAGAACTGGTGAATTGAATCCTTCTGAGGACCTACAGCCAGGAGATAGGGCTGAGCGCTAGCAGAGATGTCTTGCAGATGCTCCTCGATGTTTGTTCCACTCTAAAAAAAAAAAAAAGCAAGCAAGTAAAAAAGAAACATCACTAACAAGTTAAATAATAACAAACTATGACAGAACAATCATTAAATAAAACCAGCAAACAAACCTTCTTGAAGACAACAAGATGATTTTCTGCTTGAGAAGCAGAAACTTTCCCTGGTCTCTTCCGGCCTTGAGCAGATGGTGGAATCAGATGCAACAGTAGTAGTACTGAAGCAAGGTCGCTGTCCCAAACTGTTTAAACAGGTAACAAACAATTGGTTAATAAAATAAATGTTAACTCGCAGCAAAACAATGTTGAAAACTAGAAGTTAACTACATAAAAAAGCCAAAAATATATACAAAGTGACTAAAGCTACATTAGCAATCTTAGTTTGAATCCAATTATTTGTAAATCTGATAAAACTTTGATCCAAACTACCAACATGTAAAAAAATTGATGAATATGATTTGCAATAATACACACACATATATATGAATGAATTCCAATTGAATATGAACAATTAAAAATTAAACTGACAGTGTGTAACTATGGCTAACTTCATTCATGCTTGGGTTCCTTTAAAAATTATAATAACCATGGTATGAAACATTACATAAACATTAATCAAAATTCTTACCAATATGAACATCTTCTTCAGTGTCATCACGAAGAGATTCTGCTGCTAGCAAAAGTTCCTGTAAATCGCTGTTTGCAGGAAGTCTTGCACTGCTGAATGACTTTTTTCTTGAACGCTGTTGTCCACTTCTCTAGCAGCTTGCCTGACACTCCTTCTCCAAACATCAGAACAAAGTCTTGCTCAATCTAATAAGCATAACATTTTAATTATTGTAATGCTTAGGGCAAATCTTTAAACTCATGTCACCACTGACTATTTGATTTTTATACAACAAACCATTTATCAAATATGATTATAAACACTTACCAAGCCTTTAATGTCCTTGAAACGAGGAAAAATTGTCAATAGATCACTGGACTGCATGGGATCAAGAACCATCTTACGACGATAGTCAAATGTCAGTTTCATTTTCTTCTTGATGGCATCCTCATCAGCAGAATGGTTCATGAATGCAATTGCTTCCTTGCATTCATCCTCACTAAGGACAATCTCTGGAGTAAACTTCGAATGCCTTGCTACAGTTGGTCCACCGGATCCCCGCTCAGCATACGACACTTGACCTAACAAACAACAAAACTAATTTTAACTGTTTGTTTATACAAAATAAAAAAATAATAATCCAAGCACAAAGAAAATTAGATTGCTACATTTCTGAAGTTCATTTTGTACCTTCAAATGATCCTCGTCGTTCTTTAGCCAGGTTTCTCTGAATAGTTTTGATTCTCCATGCCAAATATCCGGTGCCACTCTCACCATCATAGTAATGCTCCTAAAGAGATAAAAATGGGTAAAAAGGGGGACACAGGAGCAAAATATACCATCTGTAGTATAGGTGTGTAAAAAAAAAAAAAAAAACGTGACAACACAAATGTACAATTTTAAAAAGGTGCAAGACTTACAAAGCCATTTTTGGAATAGGGGTCACTGAGGTAAGGGAACAAAGCCACGATTCCTCTGGCATATTTTTCTTTGACCAGCCTTGGTGGGGACCCTCTGCAAAATAATGATTAATTATAAAAAAAATAAATAAATAAATAAATCCACAACTATATCAAGTAGCTATGTGTACACACAAATCAGTACTTTGCAGATTACCCATTTTTTTCGGTCATATCAGCTGCCAGGATATTAACCATTTTTCTCCTCGTTTCATCCTTCAAAGCCTTTGTTCTGTTATACTCATTTATTATACTCTCGCCTCCAGGTTTCTTGACAAGAACAGATTGCACCAGCTTTAAAATAAGAGGGGAAAAGGCAGGTTATAAACAAATTAAACAAACACACCTAACAAAAAGCAAAAAATGAATTTTTAAATTAAATGTAAATTATATATTTTTTCAATTTAAATCATTTTTATGCAGAAAAAAAGTCCACCTTTTTTGCTTCATCATCCAGCTTCATTCGCTTACTGTCAGGGCCTTCTTCAATAATGACTGTATCCTGAGAGTCAAGGGAGTCAATGGATGAAGACAGAGACTGATCTAAATGCATAGAAGATGATTGTGGAGAGGCCGGTTCCAAATCTGTTTGCATAAACAATATAAGGAGGGGGGGGGGGGGGGGGGTGAGGAAGTCTCTATGACAAAAAATGTGAAACATTACAGTCAAATAATGTGATAAAATACAAACCTGCACCATGTTTTATGCTGAGAACGCCAACGGAGGGATCTTTGATTAACTCCTCAAAAACATCACCATCCACCTCAGTCCCGGATTCATCCACAACCTTCACGTTCTCAGGTACATTTGGAACCCCAAACTTCAAAAAGGCTAAACAATACATAAATAATATATTGCATAATAATAATAAAATGTGAAAGCTGATCAGTTATATACTGGTAACTCTGAATATCATCTGGAAACATAACACAGCAGCATATACATCAGTATTTAAATTGACCACATACCAAATAAGAAATCTGAATAACAAAAGTGTAATTGTTTCTTACCTGCAGACAAAAAGTCCTCCAGGTTCAGATGGGCTATTTTAACAAACTTTTGTGCATCCCCAAATTTCACCTTTACCAGCATGCTCTGTAAGAAAAATGAGAATATTTCATACAGGTGCCAATGGGGGGGGGGGGGGGGGGGGGGGGGGCTTTAATCATACATAAATTTATAAATGACACAAAAATGGCACATAGGTTTATAAATTGTTGCAAGATTTTATAACCATTAACATATATTTATTATTTAAGAATTGGTCATCCCAGTTAGTAAAGTAATTACACAAGTACTTAAAGGTTTTACTCACGATGTGATCTGTAGAGCCTTATATGCACAGAAACTTGGGGGAAAAGAAAACACCAATATGTCAACAATCATTTTCCTGTTATGTCAAAGTATAACACACATTCACCATAGAAAAAAATTATTCTAATCCACTTAATTTTGAAATAATGTCTGTGCTGAATCGTTGTCATGATACTGAATTTTGGTACCAATTGGTACTGGAATTAAAAGCATCCATTTCCGCTAATATTTAAGTGTTTTTGAGCAGCCAAAATATTATTAAAATGTAATAAGTTGTTTCCAAACTCATCTACAACTAGCACAGACGTTGCCACATTACACAAACAAGTCATAACTTGGAATGCTGTAAGAGTAAATCATCATTTATTGTTTACCTGGTCTTTTGTCTATGATTATCAGCTTCAGGTCTTCAAACGTCAGTGGTTCGTTCACGTCACACAGACCCACATTAATTAAGCTGCCAAAAGGAGCCATGATTTTTAGTTTACCTCTCGAGTCTTCTGGTTTTTGAGTCGTTCGTTTATCATGTGGCAGCACGTGAAGAGAGATGAATCAAATCCGAAGACTCGATAAATGAACGAATCAAAACTTTTTCCGGCTCTAAATGCATGACTGGCTTCTGTCTTTCACGCGATGAACGAACGACTCAAAGCACATAGAAGACTCGAAAAGGAACGAATCTTCTGCTCCACCAGCACAATTGTGCAATTAAACGAATCACTCCGAAAGGACTCAACGTTTTCGAGTCATACAAAAGATTCATTCAAAATGAATGAATCGTTTATGAACGACCCATCACTACATGTCACCGCTGTTTACCGGGCACAAACACAGATGCACACCACTTGATCGTTTTAAAAGCCTCGAAGATGAGCTGGCGTGTCTATGGAATGACATTTAAGAGATCCGCTGATGATTCACAGTTTTAAAATGATCCGCTGTCTCTGTATCGGTGTTTGCACTCGGTAAACAGCGGTTAACGTTAAGTGCGGTGAACTGATGACCTTCACGGCCAAACGGCGGGGTTTAGGACCGCGCTCAACAGCGAATTTCAGTAACGTTAATTGCTACCGAAAAACAGTATTATGACAACACTAACAAGCTGTTAAAATGCAACCTCTTAACAGAGAAACGTTAATTAGGAAGTAACTTAATTTGAAATTGACTGAAAATATTTAACCAGCAGTGAGCTCGACAGCCATACAGAGACAGTTAATTTTACACTACATATGTTTATATCATATAACTTTCTCTGTAAGTTACCATCTTAATATGTTGAAACAACAAAATACTGACCTAACAGTTACCTGGAACATTGCAGAGTTGCTCTTGAAAGCAAAACTTCGAGGCTAAATGTAGCCTAACGTTAACGTCTTCTTCAGAGAGTTCACAGTACAAAACTAAATTAATATAAAAGTAAGATTAGAAATCGCAAAAACAATTTAAGTAAGATCATTGGCATCGTTTAAGCTTCATCTTTAACGTTAAGGTGACCACACTGTGATAAAATCGATCGAATTACATGGTCACAAAGTGACTCATAATCAATGTTTAAACAAACAAAACTCATCAAAGTACAACATATACCGTTGTATTAGCACATTTACTCATATAAATCGATAAAATGATGTTTTAAGACGTTAAACAAGAGAGCTTACCTATACGCACGAGGGAGCAGAAAATGGCGCCGACAAAACTCCAACACGTTATCTGCAGTGGGTAGATTGAGGGGCGGAGCTTAACAGAGCAAAGTTAACGACGTAGAATACAACTCTGATCATTTTCACCAACACAAGGGGGTGTCTTTCACCGTTTCTTGTAAAATTAACTCATTTTGAGTAAATGCAGATTAACACAGCTTAATTAACACAGCGGATTTTACTGTGTGGTGGCAGTAAATAATATTTTTCAAGACATTTCTATACAGCTTAAAAGGGACATTTAAAGGCTTAACAAGGTTAACTAGGCAGGTTAGGGTAATTAGGCAAATTATTGTACTGTATAACGATGTTTGTTCTGTAGACAATCCAAAATATACATATAAAGTTTAAAGGGGTTAATATTATTGACCTTAAAATTGTTTTAAAAAAATTGAAAGCTGCTTTTATTATAGCTGAAATAAAGCAAATAAGACTTTTTTTTCTGAAAGAATAAATATTATCAGACATACTGTGAAAATTTCCATGCTTTGTTCAACCTCATTTGAGAAATATCTTTAAAAAAAGACAACAACAAAAATCAAAGGGGGGCTAATAATTTTGACTTCAACTGTATATGGGTTATGAATGACCTTGGTAATGATGAGATATATGTACAACTGAATATGGAATATATAGGAAACCAATACATGAAGAGTCATCCGTCTGTCAATAAAGAAAATCCTATGTGGAATTCCTGATTATGGTAATGCTTTTGAGAAAAAATGGATTAGTTCCAACATAATACCAAATGGCAGACAGAAAGTGGAGGAGAAAACAGGAAAGGATTATTAAAGAAAATGTTTGAGGCTAAACAGATGAAAAAAAATGTATAGATTATCATAATGTAAACCTCTAATGATGACATTAAAAGTATCTATCACTGTCTGGTGGTCACTTTTGTTCTTTGGTTAGTTCATTTATAAAAAATAATAATAATAATAAATAAATAAATAAATCTCTATTTATAATGTATACATTTCATTCATTCATTCGTTTTCCTTTGGGGCAGTCCCTTTATTTAACAGGGGTCGCCAAAGTGGAGCACCCAGAGGAAACCTATGCAAACACAGGGATAAATTTTAAACTCCACACATAAATGCCAATTGACCCAGGCCAGGCTCGAACCAGCAGCCTTCTTGCTGTGAGGCGACATTGCTAACCACTGAGCCATCATGCGACCCATTTATACATTTAATATATGCTTTTAAAGCATTAATAATGTGCCATATTTGAATGAAACACTATGACGGGAGTCACAAAATCTACACTACAAATCACTTTTGTTGCTGGTTCAAGCTATTTTTTTTTTCGTATGTTTTTTGGGGGGATAACTTCATAGTTTTATGTTCGATCCACTTAAATTTGTAAAAATGATTAGGTTTAGTTCATTGATTTGTGTTTTTGACAACATGAAGGAATTGTGTGTAAAGCAGCTTTTTTACACTGTAGAAATATGTCTCAGCATGTGTATGAGGATGGCCCGAAAGAAAGAAAAACATTTGATAATGGAGTGAAAAAGGAATATGAAAATGTTGGTGATTTGTAAAATTACCCCTCCAGGGCAAGTCCAATTATATCCAAAGTCTGGAAAACTATCTGCCATACATTGCTTTTAGACAGAAAATCCAACATACTGTGAGATCACTTGTTGATCTTTCACAAATTAGTTTTTACTGTTTTACTTTATATCGTAAGTGTGAAAAAAAGAAATAATGTAAGAGTACTGCACTGTAAAGCTCAACAGTCTAATTAAATGAGTGTAGTTAACTCAAAATTGACTGAAAGTTAAATCTACTCATTTGAAAAGAGTTTTGAACTCAGTGATGAATGTAATGAGTTAATTAAATACCTCATTACTTCAACTTAAATGGAGTAAGTTCACAGTACTCATATAGATTAGTTTTTTTATTTTAAATGGTTTGTAGCAATCGGTTTCCTCAATAGGTTTGAGTTGCCTTAACTCATTTGGTTTTACAGTACTCAGTTGATTTGAGTTCTCTTCATTTATTGGGGTTTACTGTGCTTAAATTGCTTCGTTTACTCAAATGGATTAAGTTCACAGTACTCATTAATTTTTTTTTTAACTTAAATGGTTTGTTGCAGTCAATTTCCTAAAATGGTTTGAGTTACCTTAAGTTATTAGGTTTTACAGTGTGGGTTTGTTGTTGCCATTTAATGTACACCTAATGTTGCAGGCAACCCTACATGCCCTATAGATCCTCATAAAGAGGTTTGACTGCAGTTCAGAGCAGTCATGGCATTTTTGACTTCAGTAATTGTAATCATCTTTTGCCCAGATTATAAACACTAGTCTCATGTACTAGATTTACAGTAATCTGGGATTTTAGGATCATTGTTGTCTGCCTGAATTAACTGAAATCTGCTCATAGCTACAGTTTTACAAATATTTCTTTACACTCTCTCTAAAAAAAAAATTAAAACTGCTTTTATTCTAACCAAAATAAAACAAATAAGACTTTCTCCAGAAAAAAAAGTTTAAGTAAAAACTGTGATAATGTCCTTAATCCGTTAAGTATTGCTTAAATATTTTGAAAAGTATAAATATTGCACAGCAGGATATAATTGTGATAATAATTGTGGTGTGTTTTAAAATATTAAGATAAAAATATCATGTAAAGATAACAGATGTTTAAAATAATTTAAAAAATGTGCAGCTTTTAGAAAATATACAGTACAGTAAACATAAGTCAAGTGATTGTGGTTTAGCTTAAAATAGCTTGAAGAGAGATTCAAGTCTTAAACTACCGTATTCTGTTGCCTCAGTCTGTTATGACATATTTAGTAGAAACTACATTTGCATCAAAACTTACGTCTTTCACTCATTCACTTGTAACTTTATGTTGAAAAAAATTGCATGTTTTATACGAGGGAACACTAAACTTGTTTCTGGAGGTCCAGTGTCCTAGCTCCAACCCTACTCAAACCACCTGAACAAGCTTATCAAGGTCTTATAGGTGTACTTGAAACACCCAGGCAGGTGTGTTGAGACAAGTTGGAGCTAAACCCTGCAGGGCACCAGACCTCCAGAAACAAGATTGGTGACCCCCGTTTTATACAGTGTGACTGAATATGCGTAACTTTCTCCTTACTTTAACTGATCACTATACAAATCAGGAACTTTAATTTTAATCTAGTGTTTTCAAGGTTTGAAAAGTGATTACATTTTTGGATAAACTGTTTGGAACATTTTGAAAATGTAATTGTGTTGTATTCATAATCATGTTTCTTACTAAATAGGTCATCATTAACTATTCAAATAAAATAAGTATTTTTGCTTTAGGGTTAAATTTAAAGGCATGGAGAGTACTTCTTCATGAGTGAACGATATATGAAAGTAAAATAAATATGCATTTAAGAAGAAAGATGACACATTTAAGATCGGATTAAATGACATTCAATTAGGGTTGTACAATATTGGAAAAATCAAACATTGTGATATTTTTTTGCTGCGATTTATATTGCAATATGAATACAATTTCGGCATATGACTTGCATATCTCTATTTAGAATGAAATCCTTAACTTTGATTGGAATTATTGTGCAGAGGACTGAATCAAAGACAATGCAAGAATAAATAAGATAGAGCATAGATAAAATTGAAAAAAGCAGTCAGATATTCAGGTACAGTAATACAATGCAATACGATATGATATTGTCAGGAAATTCTGCCCCCGATAATGATAGATACCAATATCAGCGATATATCACAAGAAAAACTTTCACAGTATATCATAATATTTGTAAATGAAGAGAAAAAAAAGCATCAAAAAGTTATAAGACGTATTTAATTTATTAACAGCACATATTTCTTAGATTTGCACCAATAATATATGTTCGAGTGCCACCATGATTATAGGTATTTTGTCATGCCCCTGTTATTGAATAATTAAATGTAATGTAAAATGTAAACACTGTACATTCGTCATTGCTGATCAACAATAATAATCCCAAATCTACATTGCAGATGGTGCGATGGGATTCTTGTGAATGCACACATTGCAATATCGATGCTGAAACTATATATTTTGCAGCCCTATGTTCAATGTTGAGCTTGGGGATATTGTCATCAGAACATTTCCTGAAAATTATATACTATACTATACTATACTATACTATACTATACTATACTATGTTATACTATACTATACTATACTATAGTATGCTATGCTATGCTATGCTATGCTATACTATACTATACTATGCTATACTATACTATACTACACTACACTACACTACACTACACTATACTATGCTATACCTAATAGCATCTGATAGAATGTGCAGTAAGCATATATACTGTATGTAAATTTGTAATTTGCCACACTTACAACGGCTAGAAATGTTTGAAAATGAACTTGGACAGTACTTGAAAGTGCTTACATTTGACTTTGAGGTAAAAGAAAGTTGACAACATGCTCTCTCCTGTCAGCTCAGGTCAATGAGTGATTGGCAGTGGCTTGTTTGCCTCTCATCAAGTGAAAAAGTAATTTTCCAGCACTTTCACCCTCTCTGTTCCACTCTAGCTGAATGAACTGCTGAGAGCGTCAGATCTGTCAAGCAGCAGCTGAAGACACAGCTGACACACCTCGACACTTAACTAACCCAACCTGCTAAACCAATGTGCGTGCACACATACATGCACACACACGCACCGACACACAGAGTCATGGATATATAGACTAAATCCAACCTGCATTTCTTCTCTTTTAGTGGCTAATTATTGGGTAAATAATTTGTACAATTTAAATATAAACATTGATATAAATGGCCTTGGAGGTAACAGTATTTTTTTTTATTTACATGTGTAAATTTGATCTCTCCCATAACTGTACAAGTACTGTTTTACTTGCAGTAATTGTTTTAATTGTTTGCTTGTTATGTTTTTTTTTTTTTTTTTTTAAATTTAGGGCGTGTTTTTAATCTTTAGACAGGTTTAGTGGCTAATTTGTATAACTGTTTACAAACTCATTCATACATTTTAGTATGACTTGCTCATCTCCAAATGACAGTTGGGTTTAAGGGTGTGGTTTGCACTCTTCCTCTTAAAAATCATAATAATTTAAATTAAATCGTAATAATTGGTGCAAATTAGCAAATTTATCACCGATATGTTGTCATTATTTACTCAACCTGATCATTGGTGAGAGGTTTTAGCTTTA